GAATACGGGTACGAGGATACGACAATTTCAAAATTATAGGATATGGTCAATAAAAAGATACATTAAGTTTTACTATAGTGCAATTTATTGGAGTATAATAATATTTTTTCATTCTGACATAGATTTCATTCAACTTCTAAATATCAACTATGACTCTATATGTTTACTGTCTAGTTATTTATTTGTATTGTATAATTAATGTCTAACTCAGAGATAATATTTCTCAACAATTACTTCTTTTGATCAAGACATTCAAGTATGAAGAACTCCCTTTTGTAAACAATAGAAGTTTATTAATATAACAACAATTGATTTATAAGTTTATTAAAAGACAATAACTTATTTTTGTACACCTTATTTGTATTTGAAATATTTAAGTTACCTATAGATGATATAACTATAATTTTGATTTCTTAATTATCTACTTTTAAAACTTCTTTCTTAAATAATTTGACTATAAAAGAAGATGTACGTGATTGCAATTGGAATTTGATTTGTAACACAAAAAATACATGACATTAAATAGAATTTAATGTCTACATTATGGCATAAAAAAGATATTAATATGAGTCTTAATATAAAAGGTTTAATTGCATCAGTACAAACTTAACCACTTAAATACGTCCAAACATGAAACAGATGTGCAAAAAATATATATTGAAGTGTCAAATTACATATTAACCACCACAAATGTGCTTGTATATGATACATATGACAAAAACCATTTAGTAAAGCTATTTTTTCTTGATGCATATAAAAGGGGTTCCGTTGTCATCTTTTCTCGGTTTATCTCCATGCAGAGGCGACTTGAGCATTTTGGAGGCCCCAGACGAAAAATATTTACTATGTACAAATCACTTTTAAAATCAGATAAATTGAATAAAAATCGCCTTATGAAAAAAAGCATATTCAAAATCCACGATATAATGTTTGTAATATTCAAAAGGATAATTTTAAAATGCAAACTTTTTCAAAACACAAGGCAAACTTGTACTTGTAAAAGTATTAAGAGACTTCAAGAACGAGTCTCGGAGAGAAGAGCTGAAGAGTTTTAGTTGATTCACTAACCAAGGGCCCATGTCGACGGCGGGCAGTGAGACATATATACAGTAGCCGATTAGCGGTCTGTGTTGGGCGTTGATGTGTGTTGAGATCGGCTTTTGATAGTTTTTTCCTAACTTTAAGGTGTCATAAGTCTCAATTTTAAGCTCAAGTTATATTTACCGGCCGTTGGTTCGAGTTTTGGTATTTTTGGAGTCAAAATCAGGAAATTTGAGCCTGGCACCGGTGTTTGAGAAGCAATAGGGACGAGTTGAGAAGCATTTTAGAGTTGATTAGGAGCATTGGAGATCAGTGAGGTGTTAAAGACAAAGTTTTGAAGACAAAAGAGCTCTAGAATTGGCTACATGATCAAAAGAAGACGAATAGAGCTTGAAAACTACGGTCAGGATGACGTTCTGTCAATCGTTCAAGCATATCTTTTCTTAGGAACATCCAAAAAACATAATTCAAGTTTCATATGAAAGCCGACTTCAAGCGCTAAAAATTATATGAAGACACCATTGTGAGAATCTGAGAGAAGCAAGGTGAAAACAGACGATGAAGTCAAACAATCTCTGTTGAGATTTCAGAATGCGACCTTCCACCATTTTATTCATATATTTTTTTGGATGATTCAAATCCAATTTTGCAAGTTATGTTGGATAGAAGACTTCATTAGCTACAACTTTGATGAAGGACGAATAGTCAAAAGTGAACTATAAAGCTGATTTCTGCTTGCAGTTGTCGCTTCGTGTATTGGCGGTCTGCGAATAATACCGGAGTAGAATTTTTTGGAGACCCCCTTGGTAGTTGAGACCCAAGGCAGTTGCCTGGCCCAACTGCCCTCAAAGCCGCCCCTGTCTCCATGCCATCCTTTCAAACCTGAATAGCTTCCCTATCAAGCATTCGAAACACAACAATTTTTATCACAAACATCCCACAATTCCACCTGCAACATGACAACATATTAATATTTATAGCATTTTAACCATTTAAAAGGAATTGAACATATCAAGTTTATGTTGTTTATACCCATCCTGTTATGGACTGTTGGGCACCAATTCAATGCCACTTTTACTTTTGCATTGAACAATAGTGTGATTTTAGCCAATTCATAACTTAAAGTCTCAAACTGATTAGTTGCTCATAATAAGCACTTTAGAAACTGTTGCATGCTTTTGTTTTGATTTTATCCTCTATTTTGAGCTTCTCAAACTGATTAGTTGCTCATAATATTGGTATTTTTCTTTTTGTCTATATGAGTGTATTTTTTCACATATAATATAAGCATGATTTTAATTGGATTGTGTTCGGTCCTAGACCAGACCTGATTAGACTTAAACATACCTGACCAGACTTATATTAAACAGACCAGACCAGACCAGATCAGACTTGACTTCCGTAGTTATAAACTATGTTGCACGGATACGGATACGCCGATATGTCAATACGCGAATACGAGTACGAGGATACGAGAATTTCAAAATTATAGGATACGGTCACACGGGTACGAGGTATATTTATAAATAATAATAATAATAAGATAGGGTATACTTTACAAATAAATATAATTCTTGGGTTCATAAATAAAATAGTAATAGTACCAAAAATTAACAATTATAATAAAATTTCAAATATTAGGCTGAAAAAAAGTAAAATACAGATATTTCAATTTAAATTCAAATAATATTTTTGGTTCTCTGTTTGTATTTACATTTAAGTCTTTTAGCAAGACGGATTTCAATTAAGTAAAGCCCTTCAAGCGAAAAAATGACAAATTATCGTATTCCAATATTTTCCATATGCTTGAAATCATCTTTACCAATGTTTCATATCTTGTGGTCGCTTAGGTGATTACTAAATTTTCGTCATGGCGTGTATGAAATGAGGGTTATAGGGTCAGATACGTGTATCCGTTCACTAAAATAATCCCAATACTTTTATTAAATTACGAATACGGACCCAATACGTACAGGACGCGTATCGATGAGTATTAGTATCAGATACGTATCGGGTACGCGGATACGACATTAGGGTGAAGTATCGATGCACCATAAGTTATAAAATACACAGAGACCATACTTGATTTAGTTATCATATCAGACCAAACCAGTTTAGACTTGAGGAGACAAAACATAAACAAATCAGATCAGACCAGATTTAAACATACCAGGCAAGATCACCAAATTACGATCCAAGTAAAGACATCTATGTGCACTAGTAAAGATTAAGATATTGATTCGGAAGAGTAAATTATTATTATTATTATTATTATTATTATTATTATTATTATTATTATTACCATTAAATGAATAAAATCAAGGGAAAATGGAAACTAATAATCCAACCTTTTAGCGATCTTCTTACAATAGTCCCACATTTTGATTATTCATGAATAATCCAACCTTTGCACCTCATCTTCATTCACTGGTCTATGATTGATTTATTACCTGTTATTCCAAGTTATTTTCTTATATTTGCAAAACATTATGTGATCATAAGGTGGGAATTATGATATAATGTTTTACAAAGATAAGAAAATAACTTGGAATAACAGGTCATAAATGGGTCAGGGACCAGTGAATGAAGATCAGGTGAAAAAGTTGGATTATTCATGAATAATCAAAAGGCGAGACAATTTTAAGAAAACTTCTAAAAGGTTGGATTATTAGTTTACATTTTCCCTAAAATCAATTGGTATTATTACTTCTGATCCAACATAATACTCCGTATACACGTTCGATCAACACTGGGACATCCCGACCTCTCAAGTCGGTAAGTGGCGAGTCCTAGACGTCGGAACATGCTTTAGAAAACAGCATAAGATAGAAGATTTCCTGTCCCTAAACTGCATTAAAATAATGGAAGAAAACCACATCGACTCCGTACTGTATATATGATGCATGATTCAAGAGACAATGGAAATGCCCACATTTCCGTCTCCTCAACCGACATCCTCGGACCCACTCCACATTCCTTTGCTCCTCCTACCGCAATGATCCGACCTTCCTCCCTCTATTCATAATAAATTATGAATTGCACAAAATGGGATCACATCAAAGTGTAGACAAACTTATAAAATATCAAAACCAAAAGCAAAAATACAATTAGTTTTTCAAATGTTGTCCCTCCTTTTAAAAATCGGTTTTATGAGCAATTTGAAACATTTAGAAGCACGTTTGCACTTTCATGCTAACACTTCAATATCTTTTTCTGTTATTTGAAGGACTAAAAACAATTTTAAGAATTAGATCCAAACATCCACTAAGTATATTCCTCCATAAAAAAGATTTATTTAGTCATAGTGAAGAACAAAAGGAACAAAGTTTCACTAAATAGGAGTACACTCATATTCTGGGAATAAATTTAACTCTTATTCGAGAAATTTTGCAACGTTTTATATCAATATGTTTCTATAATTTATTTAACTGTCCACCTAATTGAATTTTAAGTTAAAATTTGGTGGACATAAACTAGACTTGAACGAAGATTCCGATCAAGAGCTTTTCAGTCAAATCTACTACCTCTGTCCCTCTAAGTTTGGGACAAAGAGATGTGGTTTTTAAGAAAAAATACAATTGTGTGTTTGATATTGAATTGATAAAATGTGAATGAAGTAAGAATAAATTCTTATAACTTAAACATTACCAAATACAATATGCAAGTTTAATGAGACAGACAAAATGGGTAAAAAGAGACAAAATTAGGGGATAAATGGAGTAATTATGTGTATGTTTTCATTCGGTACGATCCTATCACATTAAATCTTGTCCTTCGATATGCATCTATCCCCATACGGGAGGCTCTTATTGTGTCCCTTCGGTCCTCCTCCGCTGCAACGTAGTAGACCCGCAACAACCGGTCCTCAATGAAACACGCTAGCTCTGCGAAATGACGTCCATGTCCCACACTTTAACTTCTCTTCATCCCATCCTATAAAACTCTCCCACCCCTCCACCAAAAGGCATATCAACCAAGCCTAGCTGTTCCATTCCAACGTTGATCACTCACAAGAGAATCAACTCGCCGGAGATTCACCGGAAGCTCATCAACCTCTCTTACTCTTTACCAACGAAAAATGGAGATCAGCCGGGAAACCTTCCACAACGACGGTCATCTCAACCTTAAAGCCACTGAGCTTACCTTGAGGTTGCCGGGAAGGGACGATGAAAGGGAAAGTTGTCAAAATTCAAGAAACAAAAAGAGGTCTTCTTCTGAAATGGGGTGCTCATCTAGCTTCACCCAAACAGATCCCGCCCCCGCCCCAAAGTAAGTTCAACTTCCGAGTATAAAGATACAAACCAACATATAAAGTTTTTAATATCGATGTAAAGCTTTGAAGTAATACTGCTCTTATTTGTTGAGACTAAATTGTTGTGTTCATATTTTCAGGGCACAAGTTGTGGGATGGCCACCGGTTCGGGCATACCGGAAGAACGTTCTCGAGGCGAAAAAGTCGCCCGAGACGGAGACGGGCGGAGGGGTTTACGTGAAAGTGAGCATGGACGGAGCTCCATACCTAAGAAAGATGGATTTGAAGGTATTCGAGAGCTACCCGGAGTTAGTGAAGGGGTTGGAAAAGATGTTCCAATGCAGCATTTCTACGAACTGTGAGAGGGAAGGCGGATACATTAATTTCATCAACGGATCTGATGATTACAATCTGACGTATGAAGACAACGACGGCGACTGGATGCTCGCCGGCGATGTGCCGTGGGAGATGTTTGTTAACAACTGCAAAAGGCTGCGTATCGTTAAACAAAATGATTTGAAGCTGAAGGCTTGATTCCTTAATAAGTTGATGGGTTACATACTGGATCGTTTCCGTACACAGAACATTTTTTTTTTCCTTTTTATGAAGTACTATAGCTTAATTAGATTGTGGAATATGTATTCATACAGTGTTGATGGTTTTGAGGAAATATTTGATGTTCACAACGCCAGAAAGTATTATTGGATTGCAATGTTCGTTCACATCAGATTAAAATTAAAAATGGTTATGAGAAATGATAAATTCAAACTCCGTTTGATTTGAAAATAAAATAATGAGTATATAATACTAAAAGAAATACTCCCTTCGGTCCCAAATGAAATTCACTTTCCTTTTTGAGTAGGTCCAAAATAAATTTCACGCTTCTTCTCCCTTCCTTATTTGACAAATTATCTACATCAAAACAGTGCAAAACAGTGCAAAACAGTGCAAAATAGTGTCAAACAATGTCAAACAATGTCAAACAGTGTCACAACAGTGTACTCTACAGCAAAGTCAATTTTATTTCCTTAATTTGTGTGAAGTCAAAGTGTGAATTTCATTTGGGACCGGAGGGAGTATGATGGAAAAAAATTGTGACATGGGTACTATAACTATATGTTTATTAATTTTACACTGTACTATAACCACCATGAGCTATAACTATGGATGTTTTTACTTGGACTGTAATTCCTTCTAAACCAGACCAGATCAGACCAGTTCAGACCAGACTTGGATAGTTATAAAAATACAAAAAAACCAGACCAGGCCAGCAAATTACACTATATGTTCATCATATTTACACTATAGCCACCATGGGTTACTTTCAGTAATATTTCACGAAAAATCTCTTTGAAATGGCTAATCCCTAAAAAAAGGAATAATTCCAAATATATAATCAAAATAGAGCAATGGACAGAAATGTGATGCTAGTAATTTTAGTGACAATAATTGTATTCAAATCATCAAATGTTACATGATCTTGATTATAAAACTTACACATAGTAACTAGTCTCCTTTTGATCCATAGATTTTTTTTAATAATAATATTTTAGGAAAAACTGAAAATTATGCTCCCATTGTCCCTTTTTAATTAGTCATCTTTGAATTTTTCGGTTAATGATACTTAACTTTGACCGATAATATATTTTTATAAAAAAGTATTTATAATCGGCTATTAACCTTAAATAGGACTAAAAACATTGCTAAATGCAAAATAGGACTACAATCTTTTTATTCTAAAAATATGAGTAATATATGTCCTTGATGGAGTATATGGCCCAGGGACCCCCCGGCCCACATACTTCCACTATTACATTCAGACCCAACAGGCCCAAAACGAGCCAAGCCCAGCAGAATGAAGCTCTAAGCAGCCCACGATACATGAAGGGGTGCCTTCGGTCCCATGGCCGAAGGCTATCAGTGACAGAATTGGGTTCAGCAACATCACGGGAAAATAAGGCTTGAAAACCAAGCCTTCGGCAATTGGAGCCCTCGGCACTATGCAGCCCCCGGTACGCGGAGCCTTCGGACTGTCATCTACAGCCGAAGGCATCCTCCTCGACAGAATCTCCCGTCTACATGCGCTGGATCACCGTACCAAGTACAAATGTCACATCCAACAACCGCATTTAATGCGGGCACATGCGAGTATCAGTGCCACCCCGGTTGAGGTGACCTCTCGACCACCAGAATGCTGACATGTGTCCCTATCTAAGCATTTATTGCTACATAACTCATATATTCGAATTCACTCTCTGTCTTACTTATTTGCTCTGACTTCTCTCTAAGTTACTTCCCGCACTAACCCCTCGGATAAGCTACCCCCCCGAGTACACTATCCATCAGTCCTTTCTTCCTATTCTAACTCCTTCCTATAATTCCAAATACATTTACCCTATTAATAGGAAAATCATAGTTTTATTTTAAATAAAAATATAAAATATTAAAAATATTTTTAAACTTATAATAAAAATGGGAGAAAATAAAATAAAATAAAAATAATTATAATAAATAATTAAGAACTTACAAAATATTAAAAATGTATGGGCCTGTTCCGCTACATCCTCTACATCCCAGGACCACCAGCTCTGATCGCCGGAAAAAACGTCATGTTGTGTAAAAAACTATGAAGATGATATTTCAGAATGAAAATATCCAGCGTTCTTTTCAAATTGTCATTACGATGACATTTTTTTTTGCAACTTAGCATTCGTTCCCGGAGATTGGAGGTGACGGTGCTGAAAGGTGACTGAGGTGGTGGTTCGTTGAGGCCAATAGCATTTTTATTTATTTATTACGTTTTCTATTTTTTTTTTATGTTTTATTATTAATTATTAAAAAATCCTATTAAGCATGACAAGAGAAAGTATAGATTAGGATGAGTTAGTCTCATTTTGGAAATTTAATCTATATGCTCCTATAGTCCTATTGTTGCAATTTTTGTTTTATTTACTCCTACTTAGCGAGTTGTCCCTTGGTCCAAAAGGTGGAATCTCCCACCCCAGGAGCCCCCCATACCCCGACCCGACATGATTTTTGGGAGGATGTTAATCACGGTGACTCAGTCGGCCCAATGATGGTAGACCTTTTTTCCCGTGCGCACCAGAGGCCCAGCCTTATTTCAGGTTCTGTGACATCCACACGGTCGCTGCGGGTTTTGAACCTTGGTCACTTGGTCCAAATTTCCCACCACTGAACCAACTGAGCTACCCGTGTGGGTTACTTAGCGAGTTTTCCCTTTATAATATAGACGTTTTTTTAATTAAAAACACTATAATATTTATAAGATTCACAAAAATACACGGAGTACTAGTTAAAATGATTGATGGAAGCTTATGATTATTGACTAGAGAAGTCAAATTTGATAAGTAAAAAGAGACAGAATTGAAGCTAAGTAGTAATTCGATCATTTGCAGTAGGAGTGTCGTTATTTAATTTTATAGGAGTAATATGACGTGTTCATTGTTTTGAGAGAAAATTGCCACTATATATATGCATGTGAGTAAATCTCAAACATACATATACATATCCTAATAAATTAGTAGGAGCAAGTTGTTCATATGGAGAGAAAATATAATCAAGGAGGAGTGAGTTGCCCATATGAAGATTAAAAAACACGTACGTTCGTATATGTAGATGTTCCAATTATTTAGTCTTATATGAGGCATTTTTCGTTTTAAAATAATACATAATTCTCATTTTTGGGATAAAATATACTTTGTTCTCTTTCAATTCTTAACTTGATCCATGATTTGCTCATATTTGGAACAGTTTTTTAACATTGGATATTGGATATAAATTGGCTTACATGCCTTAGCTTGTGGGAGTTGTGGCTACAATTGGCTTAGCTTTCTATATTAATTAAGCCCTAACTCTAAATCATACGTTGTATCATATATAGAATATTAAAGAAGTCTTGGTCCACCAAGATTATATGGTAAGATTGCCCACTTACAAATCAATTCTAAGCATTACGTGATCTTTAGCCTAGCTACTTATTTGTTTGCAGTCTTGCTTTTTGAAACACTTTTTTGTCTTGAATAATTTATTTGAATGTCTTCCCCATTTAATTGTTAACTGAAATTTGATATAAGTAAATTAGACTTAATGAATAAGATTCTCAAAAAATTTCATCAAAAAATTCCACTGAGAACTGCCTCAAATGACGATGGCCGGGCATAACCTTCTATATAAGAGCTTATTTGACCATTTTTGTTAGTACATAGGCTCATTTGCCCCTTTTTACTATACACGTTTAAGTAGATCATTTTTTTTGTGCGTGAATAACATGTTCATAGACAAACAATTTTTTTCCTATTTGTTTGTCTAAGTAAAGTCTTTTAGCCCATTTAACCTTGTTATTCTCTTTGACATTGAGCTCTACATAGTGCTTATGATCCTTTGAATTTTGCCATTGCATTTTGAGGTTTATGACTTTTTATGTTTGCCCTATTTCAATTGTAAAGAAACCAAATTAGATGACCACAAAATGAGATGTCATGAGGGTTTCACATCCATGATTTGTAGGGATGACAAACATGTGAGGAAATCTTCACATCCACCATATAGTCACTGTCCTATTGTCCTAACGAACCTTTCCATGGTTAGCATTTTCAAATACGTCCACTCACCTGTTAGCCACGATACCATCTTCTATCCAACATCGACAAGACCACAACTAGTTCTCCGTTCAACTCTTTGTAAGGATTAGGAGCGGAAAGTGTGATTTGATTTAATAAATATCTGATCTTTGTGTATTTTATAAGGGAAATTTTAAATTTGTAGCGTATGTTTTGCGTGATATTGGAATTCACACCTCATTTTCACAACTTAGAATTTGCACCATGTCTACAATATTTTGTGAAGAAAAATTTCTGAATGGGGTGTAAAGGCAAATACATTTTAGGCAAAATAGGGTGCAAAGTCTAAAATTATTGAAAGTGAAGTTCAAAGTCCAATATCACTCAAAAAGCGAAATGCAAAGACAAAATATCTCATTCTATAACTATTGAACTCTGATGTAATCTGACTTAGTCTGTGGGTCCGGGACAAATATACATACACCATATAACTTTAACGACTCTTTTTTGCTCCGCTGTATCGTGAGGATGCAGCTCATATTTTTCTCATGATCCAACAGTGCAAAATCCTTATCAGAAGTATTGAGTGAGACTTTTTTGGTTTCCAATTTTGGAAGCCGGACATTAATTAATTTTGGACTGATTAGATGAAAAACAGAACAAAAATAGTCAATATGTCACATAAGAAATCAAGAAAAATGGGTGGATTTTGAAGCATGGTGTGATCTCACCAATAATAAACAGAGACAAATATCATCAGCCCTTTCCGTTAATACGCCGTATCTATCGAATAGTTTTTTGTTTATTTTGAAGCCCAATTGCGGAAAACATCAAACATGTGTTATTAAACTGATCTGAACAATTAGAGCAGTGTAGCGAAAAGGGCCTTTTCCCGTCCTGTCTACCCATTTCTCTCAGCCCATATAAAGACTCTGAAATGCCGGCCCATTAGAAAAGGAAATCGCTAGCTAGTCGCGCACTCGCGCATGTGCTCATTAGTACTAATAAAGTAGAGTCATTTCAATTGAAATTGATTTCTACCTAAATTGTAATTGAGTTCAATCATTAGAATTGATGATTTTTTAATTTTGGGCTTATTTTTTTACAATTTAAATTTAGAGTCTTTTCCCAAAATATTGCTAACTAAACAAGTACTATTTTCGAAAATAGTAGGTCAAAATATGCTTAAAAAACTAACGCACGTCAAAAGC